AATAAACCATCTTAAAATATTTTACAGAGTTTAGCATCTTTTTGTCAACATCTTCCCCTAAACCCCGTCACCTGTAACAGTTGAATGGGAGTAGGGAGGTTACTCTTTTTTTTCCCCCCCTTGATGCGGGGGACTTACTCAATCCCTCAGGCTGGAGTGCAGTGGCATAATCACGCTTACTGCAGCCTCTACCTGGGCTCAGGCGATCCTTCCACCTCAGCCTCCCCAGGAGTTGGGACTGCAGGCAGGCACCACCATATCTGGCTAATTTTTTGAATTTTTTTTTTTGTAGAAACAGTCTCCGCTGTGTTGTCCAAGCTGGTCTCAAACTCCTGGCCTCAAGCAGTTGTCCCACCTTGGCCACCCAAAGTGCTGGGATTATTGGCATGAACCACCATGCCCTAAATAATTCTTGCAGAAAAAAATCTTGTGTTAACCTGAGGATATTCCTTCTGCTATTACCTAGGTGGAGGCTAGTTCACTTTCTCTTCTGGTTTCATTTCACACCAGGCAGTCAATATGCTACCTGCTTGGTCTAACTTAAAAGATATGGCCTAGCTCTTTATCAGGAACAAACAGGGTAGCTGCACTTGAGATGCTTGTCAGTAAGGATAACTTAAAATGCACCGCCACCCTGTACTTCACAAAACTCCTTTGAGAGAAATAGTATCTTTGGAAGATAATCTTGAAGGCTAGGTAGCATATCTGTAGATTCATAATGGGACCAACAAAGGCCCAGTGGGGAGTGGAGGAGGATCACCTCTTCACCCCAACCCATCCATAAGAATCCACTACAGTTGTAAAAAGACTGAGAGCCGCAGGGTGGCTCACGCCTATAATCCCAGCACCTGGGAGGCTGAGGGTAGAGGATTGCCCTGAGCCGAGGAGTTTGAGACCAGCCTGGACAACATGGTGAGACCTTGTCTCTACAGTAAATAATTTTTAAAAAATTAGCTGGCATGGTGGTGCGTGCCTGTAGTCCCAGCCACTCAGAAGACTGAGGCAGAAGGATCGCAGATTGAGACTGCAGTAGCCATGATTGAATAACTGCACTCTAGCCTGGGTGACAGAGCGAGACTCCCAACTCAAACAAAGAGGAAGAAAAGAAAAAAAAGACTGAGAACCATTGCTCTGGATCCTTCTACCCAGGAACAGGCAGAGAACATTGATGTGCAAAGTAGCCAGGTATGAGAGTGGAGGGGTTTGCATCATATTCATCCAGTGGAAAGCTCTCAGATGCAAGTGCTTTAAAGCCCTGTCCTGGCCAAACATTTCTCCTGCTGGCTCATCCTTCTGGATAGATGATTTTAAAACTGTCCCAGAATTATGCGAGACCAGTGTTTTTCTTTCACCTCTCCTCAGAATTGGAATTGTTTTTGCCGAGTTGCCTTCTAGTTGAGGGGTGATAGGAGAAACTGTTTTTGAAGTTGCTGATGACACTCATAATGACATTCATGAATGTCTCTGGGAGAAATTCCTCTCTTAGTTTTTGTATTAACTCTGCTTCAGTGCTTTCCTTGAGCATGTTTGGTTTTTGTGCTTTATTTATTTTTGGGGGGGTGCTTTTTATTTATTTTTTAATTTGGAGTCTCACTCTGTCACCCAGGCTGGAGTGCAGCGGTATGCTCATGGCCACCACAGCTTCAACTTGCTGGGCTCAGGCGATCCTTCCGTCTCAGCCTTCCAAGTAGCTGGAACTACAGGCATGTGCCACCTTACCTGGCTAGTTTTTTAAAATTTATTGTTTAAAAAAAAAAAAAAGTAAAAGCAAAATCACATATCTGACATGAGAACGAAATATTTCACATCATTAGTTTATTTTATTTATTTATTTATTTTTTGAGTGGGAGTCTCACTTTGTCGCCCAGACTGGAGTGCAGTGGCTGCTCCCGGCCACCGCAGCCTCGACCTGCTGGGCTCCGGCGATCCTTCCACCTCAGCCTTCCGAGTAGCCGGAATTACAGGCATGCACTACCATGCCCGGCTGATTTTTTTGATTTATTGTAGAGATGAGGTCTCGCTGCCCAGGCGGGTCTCGAACCCGCGGGCTCAGGCAATCCACTCACCTCAGCCTCCCAAAGGTGCGGGATTACGGCTGAGCCACCGAGCCCAGCTTTAGATTAGTTTAAATTAGGTGTGCTCTTGGTTATTTCTCTAGAAAAATACCTCATCTTTCCTACATGTTATTTCCCTTTGATTTACCTGAGTAATTAGGTAATGAGTATCTCTTTCTCATATCCAGTAATATGGGTGTACATAAGTATAATTTATAATATTGGATTCGTGATCTAGTCTTCGATTCATGCTCAACTTTCCCTATCATATGGTTGTCCTGGTATGCCCCTACATCAGATGTTTTAGTCAAACTTATACTTTCATCAACTGTAAAAATTAAGATGTGAATTAAGATGTTATATCAATTGTAAAAATTAAGATGTTAAAAATTCCAGACTAAACAACACTGGTCCCACTTATAGTCATGCTGTTGTGAAAAATCTTTGGACAGCCACTGCTTCAATTTCAGCTTGGCCTCCTTTGGACAAAACAGCAACCTGGTAAGCAGCGCTAGCAGGAAAACTACTCTTGAAATACTGTTTGTAGATTTCATTGACAGTATTGAAGTCATTTATGTTAGCCAGCAAAACAGTTGTTTTTACCACATTAGTGAAGTCACAGCCTACAATTTTCAGAATTTCACCCATGTTTTTAAGAGCTTGGTTAGCTTCTTCCATTACCCCTCCTGGCAAAAGCTGCCCACTTGAAGGGTCCATGCCAATCTCTCCTGAAATGTAGAGGGTTCTGTTGACTAACAGCTTGACTGTATGGACCAATGGCCCCTGGGGCTTTTGCAGTGGTAATCACCTTTCTGATCAAGGATGACATGGCTAACCTTTCTCTCTTGCTGCACCTCTGGGAGAGGAAGCCGCCCCCCGCACCAATTCTGCTGCCTCTCACCACTGATTCTCACCCTCTGTTGCTCATTTATTACCTGCCTGGTCTCTGTAGATATTACACTTTTTCAGTCTTGTATTAGATCATAAAGAATGTTCTGGGAACTAACCTAGAGATGGTGGGATTTTGAGCTAGTTTTCAGGGTGTCTGTTGGCAGTAAGGATTCCTATGTAGTACTTATCACCAATTACTTGATATCAGAGGTATCAACTGAGCCCAAGTGCTGCGGGCAAATCTTACTATGTCATTTAATCTTTTTTTTTCTGAGTTGGAGTCTCACTCTGTTGCCCAGACTGGAGTGCAGTGGCCGCTCCCGGCCACCGCAGCCTAGTCCTGCTGGGCTCTGGTGATCCTTCCCCCTCAGCCTTCCGAGTAACTGGAATTACAGGCGCGTGCTACCATGCCTGGCTAATTTTTTGATTTATTGTAGAGATGAGGTCTCGCCTGCGGGTCTCGAACCCACGGGCTCAGGCAATCCACTCACCTCAGCCTCCCAAAGGTGCGGGATTACAGGCTGAGCCACCGAGCCTGGCATGTCATTTAATCTTTATGTTCATTTGTATTTGCTATTTGTACTGGTGTGATCTATTGCTAAATTTAGGTTAAGTCTTTTATAAGATTCAGAAATTGTCAGAATACACATACATTTCTCTCTATACATTTGAGTGAATAATTGGTATTATCTATATTATATGAAGATTGTGTTTGGATTCCATTTGATGGTATGGGTGGTTTTCTTTATCTGATAAAGAAATTGGTATTTGCAAGGGGAGACTTCACCTTTAGAACCTTTGAATTTTGAAGGTTCAAAGTCAGAAGCAAGCTGAGACACTTACTTGCCATCTAATACAAGTTCTCAATCTCTGCACTGTTGACATTTTGGATTGAAAAGCGAATTCATTGTTGTGAGGGGCTGTTCTGTGCATATTTAATGGCATTCTTGCTTCTACACGCTAGATTTCACTAGTACCTCTCTCCCCAATTGAGATATCCTAGATGTCTCCAGACATTGCCGTTGAGAACCAGTACTCTAAAATTAAAGACCAAAAAGTTTGGAAACTCTGTATACTGGGTAGAGGAAATGGATGTACTCATACTTTATGGAAGGTAGTATTGATTGGTGTAGCCAACCAAGGGTATAGTCTGGTGATATTTGCCAAAGTCACATATCGTTTGATAAAATCCAGTTTTAGGGCTTTATCTTACAGATATACTCACATTTGGAGAAGGAATCACATACAGAGTTATTCTTGCAACATTGCTGTAATAGCAAAAGAGTGTAATCAACCTGTATATCTGTTAGCAAGAATATTTATAGAACATCCTTAGAGTCATTGGAATGTTTACAGCTGTAAACCAAAAGAGGTGTGTCACATACTGATGGCACCTTCTCCAAAATATAAAAGTAAAACCAAACAAAAACATGGTACGGGACAGTATGTGTAATGTGCAGCTATTTATGTCAAAGAGGAAAAAAATGCTTTTTATTTGCTTGGGTATGTTAGCTTATGTTTGGAAATATATTCTATAGACATAAATTAGGTTGGTGAACTGGATGGATAGGGGATGATAATGAAAGGGAGACTTCACCTTTAGAACCTTTGAATTTTGAACAATGTGAATATATTACCTAGATTGTCCCACAGTGAATAATGACAAACTCATTTTCATGGACCTTTTGAAAATTTAATTGTGTTCTGTACAAATACTGTGTAATTTTTTATAAGATTTATTTAAACTTGTGAAAAACATTGTAAGTAAGGCTGGCTATGTATGTATGTATTCATTATATTATCTATATATTGTCTTTATAATTCTTGATTTTGATGTGTAGATTCTATGAAGCAGGGCAGCTTTGTGTCTGTTCACTATTTTATGCATTTCACCTACCATAGTCCCTGGATGTAGAACATGTGATTGATAATTTATTGAATGAATGAATTACTGAGAAAACACTAGGAAGTTCTTGGGGAAGCATTGTCATTGTGGTAGGTTCTTGGACACTTACGACCTCAAATCTGTAACATGTATTTTTAATTTTTTTTTTTTTAGGAGCAAAGAATCTGCAGAGTGTCGTGCTTAGTAAAATGAATTTTGAGTCTTTTGTAAAAGATCTTCTTCTGGTTCGTCAGTATAGAGTTGAAGTTTATAAGAATAGAGCTGGAAATAAGGCATCCAAGGAGAATGACTGGTATTTGGCATTTAAGGTAATTATCTTTCTCTAAAATGTATGTATGTATGTGTGAATGTATATACTTAGAGTTGGAGTCTCACTCTGTTGCCCAGGCTGGAGTGCAGTGGCACACTTATGACCACTGTGGCCTTGATTTGCTGGGCTCAGGTGATCCGTCCCCCTCAGCCTTCCAAGTAGTTGAATTACAGGCACGCGCCACCATGCCCAGCTAAGTTTTCGATTTATTGTAGAGATGAGGTCTCACCACATTGCCCAGGCTGGTCTTGAACCTGTGGGCTCTGGCAGTCCTCTCACCTCAGTCTCCCAAAGTGCTAAGATTATAGGTGTGAACCACTGTATCTGGCCAAAATTTATTTTTTTAAGAATAGAAAAAAATTAATGTGAAGAATTTAACTGTGTTTTAATATTTTAAGTAGGCTGGACACAGTGGCATGTGCCTGTGGTTCCTGCTACTTGGAAGACTATGGCAGAAAGATCTCCTGAGCCCAGCAGGTTGAGGCTGCAGTAGCCATGATCGTGCCACTGGACTCCAGCCTGGGCAACAGTGAGACTCTAGCGCTCTCTCTCTCTCTCTATATATATATATATTTAGATTGGGTTGTGGTAATAAAATGTTTTGAGAAACTTTAATAGGATTTAGCATGTGATTTTTAAAAAAATTTTGATGGCAGTTTAGAAATTAAATAGATCTTTATTGCATAAATTTTATTTATTTATTTATTTCTTGAGTAGGAGTCTCACTCTGTTGCCTAGGCTGGAGTGCAGTAGCATGCTCGCTGCCACCATAGCCTCGATCTGCCAGGCTCAGGTGATCCTTCTGCCTTAGCCTTCCAAGAAGCTGGAACCACTGGCACGCCCCACTATGCCTGGCTAACTTTTTGTAGAGATAGGTCTTACCAAGTTGCCCTGGTTAGTCTTGAACCCCTGGACTCAGGCAATCCTCTTGCCTCCGCCTCCCAAAGTGTTGGGATTACAGGTGTGAGCCAGTGTGCCTGACTATAACAAATTTTAATACACAAGCCTTTTTACTGCTCCTAAAACATAACTGTATATAAGAAATTGGACAAAAAGTTGAATACCAGAGTTAAATAGGGATTTGATTTTACTGTTTTTGAAGTATATATTTACATTATCCCAAATATCTCATTAATATGAGGGGTTACCCCAAAATACCAGGAATTTTCTTTTGGAGGTCGGGCCCCTCGTAGTACAGGCTTCCCCTACTAGGTTAAGTGCTCTAGAAACGCATTGGCATTAGAGTACCAGCTAGTGATTTTGAGAGGCTGTGTTGCTGAAGAAACATCCCAAGTTGTGGCAGACTGGTGACTGGTTCTCCCACCATGACAGTGCACCTGTCCACACTTTACTGAGTGTTCAGCAGTTTTTGACCAAAACCAGCATGACCCCCCGTGTCCCACCCTCCCTATTCACCTGCTCTCACCCTGATGATTTTTTTTTTGTCACTCCCCACCACCTTTTTTTTCCCCTGGATGAACAAAGTCCACAAAGAAAAACATTTTGCTGATGTGGAAGAGATGAAATAAAATGAAAGTGCATTCCAGCCTGGAATGCAGAAACACTAAAAGGCATCAAAATCGATGAGCTCAAAAACTGTTTGAGCAATGAAAAAAGCGTCTTGATAAGTGTATTGCATCAAACAGAGAGTACTGTGAAGGTGACTAAAGTTTAAACATGTAAGACTAAATACACAATTAAAAAAAAATTACATCTGGGTTTTTTTGCTCCTCCCTTGTGCACATTTGTTATATGTTAGGATCTTTGCATGTACCTTTCTTTTCCATTAGATTGTAACTTTTTGTAAGTCTGGAGCATTGCTAATGATGATTATATTCCTTTGTGTGCTTAGGAAGGTGTACTGGCATGCATGCCTCTAACGCCTTTTAGGAGATAATAGTGCTATTGATTTTTGTTTTACTTATTTAGTGGCTATTTTCCTTTCTTCTTTATTAGTCTGTAAGGTCATGTTTTTGTTTTTTTTCCCCCACACACCCAATCCCTGCTCAGAGTAAGTTCTCAAGAAATACTGAAATAAGTTGATGGCTAAAATGTAGAAGAGGTGAGATTTATTCTTGAAAGGGAATACATATGTGGTAAGGGCGAACCATGCTCTGGACTTGTAGTCTGATTCATTTCTCTTCTGTCGTAATGGGTGACATTGGCAAATTTCACAACCTTCTCCTGTATCTGTTTCTCATGAACAGTAAAGTAAGAAGGCTTTTAAGATGCTTTTTGACTTTAAAGTCCCATGAGCTTGTTTGCTTTTTGAGTTGGGGTCTCACTTTGTTGCCCAATCTATAATGCAATGACATGATCACAGCTTACTTGACCTTCTGGGCTCAAGCAATCCTCGCACCTCAACCTCCCTAGTAACTGGGACTGTAGGCATGTACCACCATGCCCGGCTTATCTTTTGATTTTTCTTGTAGAGACACAGTCTCGCTGTGTTGCCTAGGCTGGTCTTGAACTCAGGCTCAAGCAATCCCCTTGCCTCAGCCTCCTAAAGTTCTGAGATTATAGGAACTAATGGTACTGCGCTTCTGTGCGATATAGCTACTCAATAAAAACAGTGATTCGAGTAACCATTAGGTGGTTTGAGAATGTAGAAATTTAAGCATAGTACTAACTGGATTACTAGCTTGGGTACCTTAAGGACTTGTGCAAACACAGCTGCCAGACTTCAAACTGAAAATTACTTTTGAAACAATTGTTTTTATGTTTGTTTGTTTCTTTTGAGTTGGAGTCTTACTTTGTCACCCAGGCTTGGAGTACAGTGGCACGCTTACAGCCACTGCAGCCTTGACCTGCTGGCCTCAGGCTATCCTTCTGCCTCAGCCTTCTAAGTAGCTGGGACTATAGGCGCGTGCTACCACACCCGGCTAATTTTTTGATTTATTATAAAGATGAGCTCTTGCCAAGTTGTCCAGGCTGGTCTTGAACCCCTGAGCTCAGGCAATCCTCTCACCTCAGGCTCCCAAAGTACTGGGATTACAGGCTTGAACAACCGGGGCCTGGCTTATACAGTTGTTTTTAGATGTGCCCAAGTGTTCTGGAAATAACTGGAAAAAGAGGGAGAATATGTTCTAGAACACATAATAATAATTAGGATATATGGTTACAAGCAATTATTTTTTGTAAGAAAACATTATTGAAGTTCATCAAGTTTGGATAATTCTTATTTACAAAAAATTTTGGAGATCATTCAATAGCTTAAATTTTTGTTGTTGTTGTTTTTGCTTAGGCTTCTCCTGGCAATCTATCTCAGTTTGAAGACATTCTCTTTGGTAACAATGATATGTCATCTTCCATTGGTGTTGTGGGTGTTAAAATGTCCACTGTTGATGGCCAGAGACAGGTTGGAGTTGGCTATGTTGATTCCATACAGAGGAAGCTGGGACTGTGTGAGTTCCCTGATAATGATCAGTTCTCCAATCTTGAGGCTCTGCTGATTCAGATCGGACCAAAGGAGTGTGTTTTACCAGTAGGAGAGACTGCTGGAGACATGGGTAAACTGAGGCAGGTAAGGAAATCGAGACTTAACCTCAACAGAGGAGAATCCAAGCTCAGGAAAGGCTCTTTATTTAACATTAACTCATTTAAGGAAAAATAATTAAGTCACATCTTTTGGTTTCTAATTAAAGTAATGTTTTGTTTTGAGGAATGTCTTGGTGTTTGTCTTTGACCAAAGCTTTGTATATTTAATCAGACATCAACGCTGTCTCTTGTGTTAAGATTAATTCCACCACAAATCATTTCTCCTTCCTCACCCCCTTTTCTGTTTTCCTTTGTTCCAAAAGAATAATTATTATAGTATATATTACTGTTGCATGGATTTATCAAATAAAATACAGTTCTTTGGCATTATTTTTTGATAGTTGGAGTGGAAATTTAGCCCCATATTTTATTGATTTTTGTTTTGTTTTGTTTTGCTTTTGTTTTTGTTTTTAAATTTTAGCCCAATTCTGATGGTGCCACTTGTATAGGTATATGGTTTATTATTAAGCTATTTCTTAAGGGATATATCCCCTAAGGATTCTTTTCTTTTTGTGGGCTCAACTACCATGAGCACTGCTGAGAGCTAGCACATTTATGTTGGGCTTTTTTTTGTTAAAATGATTTTTTCTTTTTGTAGGGACAGGTTCTCGTTATATTGCCCAGGCTGTTCTTGAACTCCTGGCTTAAAGCGATCCTTTTACCTCGGCCTTCCAAAGGGCTGGGATTATAGGTGTGAGCACCATGGATGGGCATTTTTAGTATGGATAATATGTAAGCAACTTTCTTTTTTCCGCCTCCTCCCCCTACCTTCCCTCCCAACCTGCCTCTCCACCTGCCAACTTCCAACTGCTCGCAACTTTCTAGAAGTAATAGTCTATTAAGAGTTTTTACTATTGGGACTATTTTTTGAAGGCTTTATATGACTGTCATTTTATATTTTGATGAAAATTTAATTTATAGACTAAAAATGTACTTATCCATGCCATATGTACTTATCCATGCCATGTCTTGCACATTATGTAAACTTTTATTGTGGGTTAATCTCTCAAACTGTTAGAACTTTATAGTTCTCAATGTTATTTTTCTTATTGCTCTTCTCATAGTGATTTTTATCTATTTTTTGTAAAATAGATTATTCAAAGAGGAGGAATTCTGATCACAGAAAGAAAAAAAGCGGACTTTTCCACAAAAGACATTTATCAGGACCTCAACCGGTTGTTGAGAGGCAAAAAGGGAGAACAGATGAATAGTGCTGTCTTGCCAGAAATGGAGAATCAAGTATGTGGATAATAAATGTGAATTTAGATTATAATAGTGACTTTTTAGAAGGCTCCTTCTGTCACGTTCATCTCAGGGCCAAAACTGTGGATTAGGGATATTAAGCTTATTTTATCTGTGATGAAGCTTGTGAAAAAAAATTAAGGCAGTGACTAGAAAAAATTAAAAAATAACCTTGTATTGTACACATCTCTGGTGTGTGGAAAGACTAATAGTTTTATGAGAGAGCCTGAGTACTGACACTTAAGTAGTTAAGATAGCATAGTGACTGGAGGGGAGAAAAGACCTTTTCCAAGTTCAGCTTTATTAGATACTAGCTGTAGGGTCTTCAGTAAATTAATTTACCTTTCTGAGAGGCAGTTTCTCACTATCTGTTAAGTAAGGAAAAATATTTGCCTTAAAGGAGTGTTGTCAGATTAGTAGGTAATATGGGTAAAAGTATATGTAGCATATAGTAATTGCATCATAAATACGAAACAATTTGGTTCAAAAATTGGCATGGTTGTGTGTGTTCAGTGGTAGAAATGAAGATGCACACAATGGAACTTTTATGGGATTTTCTGTGGTTGAAGTTTTTCTTCCTGTGCAATCTCAGAGGTGGATATGGTTTGAGAGATGTATTTTTATGGTAAAATATGGGAGAAACTCATGACCAGATATTGTGGATTACTAACAAATCAAATGAAACATTCGATGTTTAAAAAGTTTAAACAAGACAGAACAGACTTTATAATTGCTTATGATTTTCAAAGTGGATTTCAAACTAGAATGAACTGAGATTTTTGTGACTATCATGGTTTTTTTTTGAGTCGGAGTCTCACTCTGTCGCCCAGACTGGAGTTCAGTAGCATGCTCAACAGCCATCGCAGTCTTGACCTACTGGGCTCAGGTGATCCTCTTCCTCAGCCTTCCAAGTAGCTGGAACCACAGGCTTGTGCCACCATGCTCAGCTAGTTTTTTGATTTATTGTAGAGATGGGGTCTCGTCATGTTGCTCAGGCTGATTTTGAACCCCTGGGCTCAGGCAATCCTCTCGCCTCCACCTCCCAAAGTGCTGGGATTACAGGCTTGAGCCACCGTGCCGGACTTTTTTTTTTTTTCCCAGTAGAAGTCTCACTCTTTCACCCAGGCTATAATGCAGTGGCACCGTAGCCTCAACCTGCTGGGCTCAGGCTATCCTTTCACCTCATCCTTCCAAGTAGCTGGAACCACAGGTGTAAGCCACCACACCTGGCTAATTTGATTTATTGTAGAGACAGAGTCTTGCCAAGTTGCCCAGGCTGGTCTCAAACTCCTGGACTCAGGCAGTCCTCTCGCCTCTGCCTCCCAAATTACTGGGATTACAGGCATGAGCCACTACGCCCAGCTGACTATCATGATTTTGAACTGATTGTTTATCAAGTAGCAGTTTGATCCTTACAAACTTAATTTGTCTTTTTATATTTTACTTTGTTTTGTGAGACAATCTAAAACCAGTATGGATGAACAATAATCCCAGTATTAAAGAAACTTACCCTCTGTTGTTGAAAATACGAGGATGATTTAGAGCTACTAAAAAGTTTTTATTTTTGCCTCCTAATAACATAGTAGGAGATACTTGTGGCAGCCTTACACATTTGTTAGAGTTTGCCTCCCAATAACATAGTAGGAGATACTTGTGGCAGCCTTACACATTTGTTAGAGTTTGGTAAGGGCAGTTAGGTTACTGTGTTAGCAAATACAAAAAATAGGTTTATTCACAGTGAATCTGGTATCAAGTAGATTTTGTTGTTGTTGTTGTTGTTTTTGTTTTTTTTTTGAGTTGGAGTCTCACTCTGTTGCCCAGACTGGAGTGTGGTGGCCGCTCCCAGCCACCGCAGCCTTGACCTGCTGGGCTTCGGCGATCCTTCCGCCTCAGCCTTCCAAGTAGCCGGAATTACAGGCATGCGCTACCATGCCCGGCTGATTTTTTAATTTATTGTAGAGATGAGTTCTCGCTGCCAAGGCGGGTCTCGAACCCGTGGGCTCAGGCAATCCACTCACCTCAGCCTCCCAAAGGTGCGAGATTACAGTTTGAGCCACCGAGCCCGGCCAAGTAGATTTTTATAAGTAGAATTTGTCATTGAACTATCAGTGTGAAGTCCTCAACTTTTTGTGTTGTTGTAATATCACAGGGAATAACAATATAGGTAATTTGAACTTACTTTGGTTTTTTTTGTTTTGTTTTGTTTTGTTTTTGAGTTGGAGTCTCACTCTGTCACCCAGACTGGAGTGCAGTGGCCGCTCCCGGCCACCGCAGCCTCGACCTGCTGGGCTCTGGCAATCCTTCCGCCTCAACCTTCCAAGTAGCCGAAATTACAGGCATGCGCTACCACGCCCAGCTGATTTTTTGATTTATTGTAGAGATGAGGTCTCGCTGCCTAGGCACCGGGTCTCGAACCCGTGGGCTCAGGCAATCCACTCACCTAAGCCACCCAAAGATGCGGGATTACAGGCTGAGCCACCGAGCCCGGCGAACTTACTTTGTTTAAATACATGTGGGAATGTGCATGTACCATACGTATATAACTATTTCTCATAAACAACATACCTATGTAACCAGCACCCATGAAACAGCATGTTACTAGCACTCTAGAAGCCCCTCTTATGCCTCTCTAAGTCATTACCCTCACCAGGGGTAACCCTGGTTCTGACCTCTGTTAGTGTAGACCAGTTTTGCCTATATTTATAGTTCATGTAAATGGAATTATATAGTATATACCCTTTGTCGAGTTTCTTTAATTCTGTACTATATCTGTAAGATTTAACCTTATTGTTGAGGTTTGTTGTGGATTATGTGTGCTTCATACTTAATGTTGTGTAGTATTCTGTAGTGCGAACATGCCAGAATTTATCCATTTTACTCTTGAAGGGTATTTGGGCCATTTCCACTTTTGGGTACTATAAAAAATGCTGCTAATTCAGTTAATTTTCACTTTCTAAAAATTGTTTTCTTTCCTTTTTTTTTTTTAAACCAAAGCATTTATTGTGTGACTAATTGTTGAAATTCTTAAGAAGAACTGGATGCCACAACAGCTGCCCTCTTGGGTTTAGGTGTTGTTCCTTCACGGAATCCATGCCTGAATCTGCGGTATACAATTTTTAGGTGCCTCATCCGACCAGTCCCGGTGGTATTTCGTCTTTTGGCTTTGGCACTCCAGTTTTACTTTCTCTTGAGCTCGGCAGGGTAGCCACATTTGCCACAGGTGGTAGGCCTTAGAGCCACAGCGGCGGCACAGCGTGTGCGTCTTATTGCGACGTTTTCCAAACGATGACGTTCCCTTTGTCATCTTGCTTCTGCGGGCGAGACCAGAGAGGCTGGAAAAGAAACTAAAAATTGTTTTCTAATCTTTTTTATTTTTATTTTTGAGTTGGAGTCTCACTCTTTCGCCCAGAGTGGAGTGCAGTGGCCGCTCCCAGCTACCGCAGTCTCGACCTGCTGGGCTCCGGCAATCCTTCCGCCTCAGCCTTCCAAGTAGCTGGAACTACAGACATGTGCTACCATGCCCGGCTAATTTTTTTATTTATTGTGGAGATGAGGTCTCGCCAAGTTGCCCAGGCGGGTCTTGAACCAGGCAATCCACTCACCTCAGCCTCCCAAAGGCACGGGATTACAGGCTGAGCCACCGAGCCTGGCTTGTTTTCTGATCTTAAGAGATTTATTTAAACTTTGATTTTCTTGGTTTATTGGCAAGGGATATCAAAGAAAATGGTATAGAGTTCAGAATTTATTTACATTTGTATTTTTTCTTTTTTTAATCTCTAGAATTGGTCCTATGATACAGAAATCTTACTTTTAAATTCTTAAATTTTAGGTTGCAGTGTCATCATTGTCTGCAGTAATCAAGTTTTTAGAACTCTTATCAGATGATTCAAATTTTGGGCAGTTTGAACTGACCACTTTTGACTTCAGACAGTACATGAAATTGGATATTGCAGCAGTCAGAGCCCTTAACCTTTTCCAGGTAAAAAAGATATATGGGTTAGAAATATTGAATGGTTAAAAAAATGTTTCATTGATATATACTGAAGAATCTTACTATGGAACTTAAATATCTTGAAATATTTAGAATAGATAAGTAGTTTTGAATGGCTGTATTTTCTTTTTCTTTTTTTTTTTTTTAAAGACCAGGTCTCACTCTGTTGCCTAGGCCGGGGTGCAGTGGCATGAGCATAGCTCATTGCAGCCTTGAACTCCTGACTTCAAGCAGTGCTTCTGCCTCAGTTGCCTGAGTAGCTGGGATTGCAGTGAGAGTAACCATGCGTAGCTAATTTTTTTATTTTTAGTTTTTTAGTGTCAGAGTCTCACTGTATTGTTCAGGTTGGTCTCTTATTCCTGGTCTCAAGTGGTCCTCCTGTCTTAGCCTCCAGAGTAGTTGGGATTACTTTGCCTAGCTATTAAAAAAATTTTTTTGGGGGGGTCCGAGTTTCACTCTGTCGCTCAAGCTAGAGTGCAGTGGCACACTTACAGCTACTGCGGCCTCACCCTGCTGGCTTAGGTGATCCTTCTGCCTCAGCCTTCCAACTAGCTGGAACCACAGACATGTGCCTCCACATCCAGCTAATTTTTTGATTTATTGTGGAGATGAGGTCTCACCAAGTTGCCCAGACTGGTTTTGAACCCCTGAGCTCAGGCAATCCTTTTCCCTCCACTTCCCAAAGTGCTGAATTATAGCTGTGAGCCACTGTGTGTGACTTTTTTTTTTTTTTTTTTTTAATAAGAGACAAGTCTTGCTGTGCTACCTAGGCTGGAGTGCAGTGGCTATTCATAGGCAGTGTGATCATAGCACACTACAGGCTTGAGCTCCTGGGCTCAAGTAATCCTCCTATATCAGCCTCCCATGTAGCTTGGACTACAAGTGTGTATCAACACATCTGGCTCTCAGATTGCTATATTTGTTTTTCTGGTTTCAAGCTGTATACATAGTATTTGTCCTGAGTTTATGATTTTTTTAAGTCAGAGTTTGAAGTTGTTGCCTAGGCTGAAGTGCAAATGGCGCAATCATGGCTCACCACAGCCTTAACCTCTTGGGCTCAAGCAATCTTCTTGCCTTAGCCTCTTGAGCAGCTGGGACTACAGGTGTACACCATCACACCCAGCTAATTTGTTTTGTTTCTGTAGAGATGAGGTCTTGCTATGTTGCCAAGTTTGGTCTCGAATTTCTGAGCTCAAGCAATCTTCCTGTTTTGGCTTCCAAAAGTGCTAGTATTACAGACATGAGCCACTGTTTTATGAATACTTTTATATAATAACAGCAATTCCTTAAAATTACATTCTAGGAGGTTTTATATCTAAAACTACAGTAGCCAGTAATCTCAGCACTTTGGGAGGCAGAGGTGAGAGGATTGCCTGAGTTCAGAGTTTGAGACCAATCTGGACAACTTGGCGAGACCTCATCTCTACAATAAAATAAAAAAAGTTAGCTGGGCATGGTGATGCACACTTGTAGTTCTGACTACTTGAAAGGTTGAGATGATCGAGGCTGTGGTAGGTGTGAGTGTGCCACTGCACTGCAGCCTTGGTGACAGAGTGAGACACCAACTCAAAAAAGAAAAGTAAAATAAAAATAAAACTGCAATAATTATAAAGTGATTTTGGCTTGGGGAGAAACATGTAGCTAAACATACAGATTAAAAGATTGAAAGGAACTTTTGTGGAAATTTCTCATTTAATATTTGAGTAAGCTGGACATGGTAACTAACTCATGCATGTGATCCCAGCACTTTGGGGGATTGCCTAAGTCCAGGAGTTAGAGACCAGCCTGGGCAACATGGGGGTGACCTTGTCTCTACAATAAATAAAATAATTAGCTGGGCATGGTGGCACATGCCTGAGATTCTAGGTGACAGAGGGGATTGCCTGAGCCCAGAAGGCGGAGTCTGTGGTAACTGTGATTGTGCCACTGCGCTTCAGCCTGGATGACAGAGTGAGACTTCGATTAAAAAAAAAGAAAATTTGAATGATATTCATGTTCTTTTTCCCCCAGTTATTAATTTTTTGTAGTATAGTAAGGATTTCACTAATGAGTGTGTTCTTATTTTTCGTTTACTAGGGTTCTGTTGAAGATACTACTGGCTCTCAGTCTCTGGCTGGATTGCTGAATAAATGCAAAACCCCTCAAGGGCAAAGATTAGTTAACCAGTGGATTAAGCAGCCACTCATGGATAAGAACAGAATAGAAGAGAGGTATATTTTTAGCGTATACTTTTGTCAACTTTAAATAACTTGTAGGATATGGCTTTGCAGGGCCATAAATTACTTTGATTTCCTCCTTTAATTGTTATGTGATATGTTATGTGATGTTATGCCAGAGTCAGGTTGGAAAATAAACCTTTAGGATGATAGAGTAATAAAATAGAGTTCTTTTTTTTTTTTTTGAGTCTCACTCTGTCACCCAGACTGGAGTGCAGTGGCCGCTCCCGGCCACCGCAGCCTCGACCTGCTGGGCGCTGGCGATCCTTCCGCCTCAGCCTTCCAAGTAGCTGGAACTACAGGCATGCGCTACCACGCCCAGCTAATTTTTGATTTTTATTGTAGAGATGAGGTCTCACCAAGTTGCCCAGGCGGGTCTCGAACCCGTGAGCTCAGGCAGTCCACTCACCTCAGCCTCCCAAAGTGCTGGGATTACAGGCTGAGCCACTGAGCCCGGCTTAAAATAGAGTTCTTAACAGACATGACTACCCAAGCCTTCTTAGTTAGAAGTTTGCATAAGAGAAAAAAAGGTTAGATTTAGTTCTCACCAGAGAATAAATTATTTAGAAAGAGCCGGGCTTGGTGGCTCAGCCTGTAATCCCGCGCCTTTGGGAGGCTGAGGTGAGTGGATTGCCTGAGCCCGTGGGTTCGAGACCCACCTGGGCAGTGAGACCTCATCTCTACAATAAATAAAAAAAAAAAATCAGCCGGGCGTGGTAGCACATGCCTGTAATTCCGGCTACTTGGAAGGCTGACGCGGAAGGATTGCCAGAGCCCAGCAGGTCGAGGCTGCGGTGGCTGGGAGCGGCCACTGCACTCCAGTGTGAGCCTCCAACTCAAAAAAAAAAAAAAAAAAAAATTATTTAGCTATCAAAATTCATCTTCTTTTTAAAAAAGGATAAAGGTTACTTTCACAGGACTTAGCAATAATTTCCAAAATCTGATGGCCTTACCTGGCTTATTTATTAGAAATAACTTTTGGGAGAATGGCTTTATAAATGAAAATACTATCTGCCTATTAATCCACCTGCAGGGCAAGAGAAGTTTTTTTTTTTTTTTTAATTAGTAAGTAGTAAGTCCTGTGATTTTCTTTTCTTTTTTTTTTGAGCTGGAGTCTCACTCTGCCTCCCAGACTGGAGTACAGTGGCACGTTCCCGGCCATTGCAGCCTCGAACTGCTGTGCCCTGGCGATCCTTCTGCCTCAGCCTTCCAGGTAGCTGGAACTATAGGTGTGCGCTGCCACACCTGGCTAATTTTTTTTTTTTTTTTAATTTATTGTAGGGATGAGGTCTCGCCAAGTTGCCCATGCGGGTCTTGAACCCACGGGCTCAGGCTATTCACTCACCTTGTGCTCCCAAAACACGGGATTACAGGCTGAGCCACCAAGCCTGGCCTAGTCCTGTGATTTTCAAGGCCAAATGTTGAAATTCCACAGAGTAGGAAGAAAAATATATACTTCTTTATATACAGGCTTTGTTTAGACAATCTCTTTGTTTTTATCACCCTTTTTTTTTTTTAAGTCGGGGTCTCACTCGGTCGCCCAGGCTGGAGGGCAGTGGGATGCTCACAGCCACCGCAGCCTTGACTTGCTAGGCTTAGGTAATCCTTTCACCTCACCCTTACAAGTAGCTGAAACCACAGGCACGCGCTACCATGCCCAGCTAATTTTTTGATTTATTGTAGAGGTGAGGTCTCGCCAAGTTGCCCAGGCTGGTCTTGAATTCCGTGGGCTCAGGCAATCCTCTCACCTTGATGTTCCATAGTGCTAGGATTCTAGGCGTGAACCACCGCGCCTGGCCTGTATCACCCTTTTCAAATCTGCCTGCTGTGTTACATCATGCTTTCTAGTTTGAGCCTTCCTGGGGGTTCTCAGGACAGATCTGTTTTCTCCACTGAGCATTTAGGATTGATTTTCATTCTAGCTTGCACAAAAAGTGAAGATTTCCTGTTTCTTATGGTCATTATTGTTTTGGGGAGATTTTCCAGAAGAGAATGTACTGGAAATCTGTTTATTCTTACCTTCTTTTTTTTTTTATACCAATATTTTTTATTTTGATATTGTGGGGTACAGTTAAGGGTTAGGTATACAAATATGCTTCATTCAAGGACCCTTGTTGATAAGGGGTGTCTCCCCGTCCCCAGACAGATATTGACTGCCGTTAATCCCAACTCCCCTCCCCATAGTTTCCCACCACTGTCAGTCCTTTTCTTATAGTATTACGATGGATGTTCAAGGTCCGCTATATGAGTGAGAACATGTGATACTCAGATCTTTGTTTCTGTGAGAGGTCACTCAGTATTACTGACTCTAGTTCCATCCAGGTTGCTGCGAAGTTCATGATTTTGTTCTTTTTTGTGGCTGCGTAGTATTCCATCGTGTATATGTACCAGATTTTTTTAATCCAGTCCTCTTTTGATGGACAGTATGGTTGATTCCAGGTTCTTGCTATTGTGAACAATGCTGCGATAAACATACATGTGCAGGTATCTTTTCTTTTT